CAGTACCTCGCTTGAATATTGGAAAGGAAACCTACGTGCAGTGTTGGGTATGAAATGTTTGCTTTTGTACTCTTCAAAATACAGTTTGCTTTGTGTTAACATGCTGAATATGTATAAGTTCCAAAGTTATTAGCTAAAACGAAAGAAGATGGTGATACTGACCGCCAACACAAGCATAAGCTATGCCGAATGTCGTTCAGTGTTTGAGCTTCTTACAATTCCTGTCACACCATATGCACATGTAATTTACCAAGTTTATTCTTTAACTAACTCACGAGTCCCATTATCTCGAAATTTGCTAAATCGTCATTCCGGTCAAAATGCAACCCGTCACAGCTCTTCAAGTCAGTTTTAATATTCATACGAACGAAATTACTCCATCAATGAGAATTTGTGATTGCTGAATGTGAGAAAAGCTTTGGAGGTCTTTGGAGCTTTGAAAACTTCAGTCCGCCCAGTAAGTGTTTTCGTAGTATTTCATCATTATAAACAATCGTAAATTAAACTGAACTACCAAAGAAGAATCGGCAAATTATCTCATGTTTCGATATGTTGATTTGGTCTTACCAACTGTTGTGTAGTTCATAACATCAGCAGGCAAATCCGGTTTCGGATTGTTTGTTGCTTGACTAGGATAAGGGTTCAGCAAAATGTTGTTTCGTGTCTTTCTTTGTCTTCACTGTTCATCTGAGAAATGTTGTCTGGCGAAGAGAACAACATTAATCACCGGTGGAATTTGCATTTATCAGCGCAACGCTACATATTTGTTCAGTTGAACAAGCTTGAGGTCCGTATTGAAGAAATATTGGTGTCTTGGTAAATTTACGGACCAAACCGCTGGTTAGGTTCATAAACAGAGCGAAACAAACGTTCGTTTCGAACCCTCTGTACGGACCGACCAAGCTAGTTCAATAATGTATTTATTATAATGTCTCTTATGACTTCAGCTGATAAATCAATGCGTTGCGACGATCTCTTCTCGGTTTAAGCGCGTCAAACTTAAGAAATTGTTTTCGTTTGAACTGAAGTAGACTACCAAATATGAAGGAAAAAATCTTGCTACTTAGTAAGAAATTTCATTGCGATGTTTGGAAAATCAAGTCGAGAAAAAAAAACTAATTCGAGAGCCGTCCATCTTGGCTGTCCGTATTGCAAAATTCGGTCTCCTTTTCATCTTAGATTAGTGTGCCATATAACAGCGTATTTCTTGATATCGACTTGATAATAGCTAATTAGAATAATCTCCAGAGGGAAATTCAAGAATTGGACTCGCTGATTGGTCGAAAAGTTGGGCTTATGATACTATATTCACCAAGCTAGGCGGTGAATAACATCTCTAAGCTTGGCTACTAAGCTCGCCATCTTTGCCATCTTGGCAAGTCAGTAAACATGGCGGACATTTGCTGAATGAATTTTTTATTTATTCGAAAGACATCACTCTAAGTCCATAATACTTGAAAGAATGGGGAATTTGCAAAATGAACTCAAGGCATTTAATAATTGTGAACGCATTGGTTTCGTTGATCTCCGGGCCAGGTCAGATCGAGTGACCGAAATTTATTTGTCTTCAAACTGGAACAACTCATTTTAACGGAGATGAGTACAACCAAGAGCCTGGTACAACTGACCACAGGTGGCCCAAGTTCGCAAATAAACGTCCCTGTACAAACACTAGTATTCACATTATGTATACGAACAGTCGAAACAAGTAAAAAATACAAGAACCCTTTTGTATGGGAAAACGGTTGTATACTGAACTCCTTAAGAACTAAAAGTATGCCTATATTGCTTCAGGTGTGTATTTCTTTGGTTCCCTTTGGTTTCTAGGCTGATTTGAGGCTATTTAGCTGGTTTTTTTGTTGTTGTTTTTGCTTCACTGTTTTGTCCTCAATATAGAGGGCGTTTTGTCTTTGGCCCCTCCTCGTTGTTCTCGGCCTCTGTTTTTATCACTCTCTGAATGAGTGAACCAAAACGAAACTGCATTTACAACCCCTACATTCACATCTACATTTAATTAAGTCGGCAAAAAATCGAGTCACGTCACATCAACTTTTCCTGCATTTCAAATTTTTAGATTCATTGTCAGTTTGTTTTCTTAGTCTCATTCCAAAAATCACAGCAGTTGATTCTTTGCTTTCTGCTTGTTTGTTTTAGTGCTGATTCGGTCGTTGTTCCTGGTTTTTATTTGGGAAAATCATAATTAAGTGTGAAGTTTTAAAGGATAATGCTTTAGAAGTCTAATATTTTTTTATGCAGAGTGTTGACCAGTTTTCTTGTCTCCAGCTCCTTCATGTTGTCGTTCCTTGAGGAATTCATGGGGCCATGCGTAGCTGTGTGTCTCTTGTCCTTGTGTTGGGATCACTAGCACAAAGTATGTCTTGGCATCAAAGAGACAACTTGGTTATAACTCAACCCAATCAGGGACAGACACTTCTACTGATGAACGGTGGCATGTTAAATATCTACGCAAGGTATTTTTAAAAGCATATTGATGGAGTGAAATAGATCTTCGCACCACGGGTTTTAATTTTCTGTTTCACTGTTTATGTTTAGTAGAGTTTGTTTAGTCATAGTCTACCCTGCGAGCAGAGGTTCCCTCTCGTCTACCACCGAGCAGAAAGAGAACAGAATCTTTGTCTAGCTGGTCCTCCAATCTGAAACTTAAAAAAAACATAAGCCTCACTGAAAAATTGCAAAACAGCAATCAAAATTAAATACACGAATTAGCTTATAATCAGGAGCCGAATAGGAGAATCCTTGTTTACAATATTTGCTTCATTAGCATAAGCAATTCAGTTTCTGATGGAGCTACATATGAATCAGTTCTGAATATTGAAAGGCCATAGTACGATTAACTCCACCAATTAATATGAGCCTGATTAATTGAATACTTTTTGTGCAACATGGGTCTGAAAACTTAAAATTTGACCAAGTATGTATGAGCTCATTACTGTTTTTGTCGCCCAGAAATTTTGCAGTTTTTGAAAGACAATATCTCCTTGAATATTACACCCAAAGAGCTCAAAATTTCACCATGTATTAAGTTTCTTTAGCTCTTTAGCTGCCTGGAGTCAATTCATATCTAACATGTTTCCTTCTGTACGCAAAACCGTATGCAAATGAGCAAAAATGTAAACAATGTGAACAATGACGTCAGCATGAATCCCCCTATAAGCACCCCTGGTGTGCACATGAACCCCCACCCCCTCCCCCACATGACGTTACGCTAAGTTAAACGTTCTGTTTTCTTTTTTTTTATTGCGACCTGCATAAAAAAAAACAAGCAAACAAACGAAAGTCACATAATATCAGATTAGCGAAATTACATTTCCTAATCAATGAAAAACAATAAATTTACGCGAAACAGAAATCAGTTCAAACGAACTGGTCGACGTCGCGTCAAAAAAACCTTACTGTTTACGTTGTTTAACATGGCGTTGAAAACTGTTGTGTTTGTAAAGGCTTATAACACAGGGTTTTTGAAATAACAAAGACCTTGCCACGACAGATTGAGGAAAACAAGAGATATTTTGTCTTCCTGTCTGCGTGGGTTGAGGTCACAAACCCTTGTTTAAGATTTATCTGTCTATTATATAGTAGAGAAATCTCGTCGCGGTTAGATAATACTGAAGATGAGGAAGTATAGTCAGTATAACATTGAGCACTAAGAGATTTGGTAAACTTCATATTTCCCTCTAGCTGTTGTTTTGTGACGGGAAAACCTCAAAGCGGAGACAAAGTTCAAAGCCAATGTTGCAAACAGAATCACGAGATTGCTCATCGGCCTGTTGAATATCAGTCAAGGAAAGGTAAGATACAAATATAATATAATGAATTAAATACTGTGTTATATAAAGATTAGTCATTTTGCAGGAAAAACAAAAGGGCCACGAAGAAACTACATGACAGCATTGAAAATGTAATCCATGATGTGTTCAGTGTCAAGTCGATTTTAGTTTTTGGACATTAGCTCCATTTAAAACAACAGCATATTTCAATGCTTGTTTCAATATGCAGTTTGCTAGAATCGCTGTAGGATCTTCATGTGACTCTTCAGTAAATAATCTCGTTCACCAAAGTGACGCAAGTCATAGTAGCGCATTCTTTAGGCTCGCACACAAAAGTTTATTCCAAGAAATTTGCGACGTCGTGTTAGGATTGAATTGAGAAGCCTAAAGAAAAATTTAGTTGTCTTCTTTCCCGTTTGCCGCCTCGCGGCGATCGAGGAACGAAGAGAGAGAGAAACATGAAAATCGACAATAATGGCGGTCACCCGCTCGGACAGCGGATCATGCACTGGCTTGATGTGTTCGCTCGTCGGTCAGCAAGAGATTCCTCTTGAACTTATCGAAGCAAAGTAACGCTGTGATAAACGAGGGTCGTAAACTAAACGGCAAAAGAACAACATGTGTCTCTGCGGGTTCACTGAGGGGACGTACCGTGACTTTGTATGAATTTAGCAGCTGGCAAGGCCAAGATAATGTAAATGGAAAGCGTTTCGTAAGTTACGACAGTTTTTCATTCAAAAGAGCTGTTAAATAACTAAAATCTCACCACGAGTCTCTCCGAATCGGTATCGGGGAGGTCATGGGTTCGAATTGAGTGTGATCTACGCTTGTGACAAAATGAACATTTCATCGTTATCAAATCTAACCTGCTTTACCAGATCGAATCCCTATTGTACGGCTTGTGTGGTTCAGATGTCGAGTGACAAGAGAATAGATGAATGGGTCGAGGAATTTATTTTCTAAAACACGTACGTGACGCCAAAAACAAAACAAAACTAAGAACAGTTGTTTGTAAGCCTCAGTCTCTCTGTACGTAGTTAGATTTATCGCACGTCATGCAATTAGATTTGCCAGCCTGATGTTTATAGGCTATTATAAACTAAAACTTTTCATCTCATGAGATTAATCTATCACTTGTGACAATTTTAGAAGGGACTGATTCTTTGTTACAAGTAAGTAAGAACTTTATTGCTGGTGCTTAAATATTAGAAGCTGCTTTATACTGCTCTGTAAGGTAAAAAAAGCCACGAAGTCTCGGGTTTGTAGGTTTAAAAACAAACTCAGTTAATAACATATTTCGTCTTTTCAGTCAACCAATACAACGTGACAGATGGTAGATATTAAGAAATCTTTCCTTTACGGGATCAGTGAAAAGCCATGTACAGAACTTTGGGAACTTATTTCTAGTTTTGGAATTGCAAAATATGATAGAGCGCACTCAAAGTAGCTTCGAATCGCCGAGAGCGCACACGTAGAAAACGTTGCAATCTTCCTGAAATTCGAAGATCTGGGTGCAGACGAATTCTAGAGTTTGGCAACACAACTAAAAGAACGTACTTCGATCGCTAATTTTTAAATAGCCAGGGAAAAATTCAATCTAATCGTTCGGCGCGATAACCTGTACGAAGTTTGCATGGGAGTTGAGATGATATCACTGAAAGGGATGCATTAAGTCGTGCTTTAAAGACCTTTAAAGACACCTTATCTACTTTTTTTTTCTAGCTATCTCCGATGAATACTTGCAAATATAGTCAGGAAATACGCCCGTCTGATAAAAATCTAAACTTTCTTCGCGGAAAAGGACATTTAAAAGGTTGCCGTGAAATGCCGAACGAGTCCCTTTGCCGGTGCTTAAATGTTAGAAGCTGCTTTAGACTGCTCCGCAAGGTGTAAAATATATTTACTTTCATTAATTGAAATGATGCAGTGACCCTTGATCAAATTTTGTATTCTTTTATTCTTTATCCAGGCTGTAGCACTTACGAACTTCCAACAGGATCTCAAATAATTTCTCAATTCATCATGGATGGATCAAGAACACTCTTTAACGGATCAAAGCTAACCTCACGTCTTCAGTTGGAGAACGTTTTCTTAAAGCTGCTTCTTCTACTCTTCATTAACTTGCTAATCAAAAGAAACACGTCTTTGGAAATACATTTATTAGCAACAGCGGTCTTTCATTGGGAATTTGCCATAGGGACACTTTCACCAACACCATCATATTCTCTTCTACCCAGTGTAAACAACGTTACTCCGTCACTGACAAGTTTTCAAGCAACAATTGCGAACGATTTTTCAAGAACGTTAAACGCGAGTATTACAGCGTCTAAAGCACTTAATGAATTGACTTCACAAACTGCAAGTTTTCAAATTAATACGCCTGTCACAAAAACAAAGTTAGCACATTTGCAAGGTAAGATGGAAGTCCTTTATTTTGGAAGATCCCAACATTCACTCTTGCTGTTTCGTTTTCTCCGAAACAAACCCAACATGACATTTTAACTTCTCCTTCTCTAACACTAAACTTATAACAGGTTGTCCCTTTCATTCACTTAATCGTTCAAGAAGATGTTTACCTAAGAGTGAATTATTCTTTAAAACAGAAGAAAGACAAGAAAAAAACTGTGAATTTTTTCAACCTGGGTGTAGATCTAAGTTTCAGAACAGCAACGCCAAAGTAATATATTTTAAATACACTATTACGTCTTTAAAATGAATTTAGAAGAAAAACATCATCGATTTCAGTTATCGTCCGATTGTAACTTTGCATTATCTTATTCTACTGTGAAACAAAAACATCTCGTTGATGGCTTTTACATTAATTCAGGAATAAATCTGAAAGTTCAACATCCGGGTCGTCCTCAGGCGACGACTTACAGGCGCTTCGATTCGGAAATTCTCGCAAAAACGCATATTCATTTTATAAAAAAGGGGGAGGGGAGACTAAAATTTCTGGCAGGAGATTTGTACGTTGACGCAAACAATGTCTCCGGAGAAACACGTCTCCGTGTCACTTTTTTAGCGTTTTAATGGTTTGTTTACAAGATATCTTTAAGGTTTTCGTTTGGTTTGTCCGCCCAAGCTAAACTGAAAACATGTCCTAATTGATGTCACTTTGTTTTTGTTAGGTATATGTGATGAGCACTGGATTCATGATGGAGATCTCTGTTACAGAGTTGTGACAGAAGCTAGAAAATTCAATTATGCTGAACGATTTTGCGCCATAAGCTCGGCGCATCTGATATCGATAACAAGTAAAGACGAAAATGATAAAATTTTTAATTTAGTTGAGAAATTTATTGGCCAACCTGGCAAAATTAAGATATGGTTGGGAATGGAAAGACTATCGTCAGATTCTAAACTCCATTGGATTGACAATAAACCGATTGCGTACGAGAATTGGGCACCAGGTGAACCAGACCAGACGGGCGCATGCGTACAAATGATTCACAAAGGATGGTGGGAAGACACTTCATGCGAACAGCAGCTTCCTTACATCTGCAAGAAAGGTGAGTCACTGAAAATCTTTTGGTGCAGGTTTGGGACAACTTCACTAAAACAAGTCTGTAAAATAATCGGCTGTAAACCTCTGAAAAATCCCGAATGAAAGACAAAAATATTTCGGGTCATTTAGAAATTTTATTTTCCAGTTTACAACCTTTTCTAGAGCAGCACATTCTCGTCCCCAGAGGCCGCGCTCCTTTTGGTCTGCTCCAAGAATCGCGACCTCTGGACAGGTCCAGTCAGAGTGAGATTCCGGTTCTGATTGGCTTTCCAAACACAATAGAATGAGACCGGAACCAATCAGATTTGTCAGACTTGACTCTGAGCATGCGCAGAGTGACGGGAAGTCCGTGGATCGCGGACTTCAGGTGTTGGAACCGGCCAGAGGTCGCGATTCTTGGTGCTGACCAAAAGGAGCGCGGCCTCTGGGGACGAGAATGACAGCAACAATGTTTTTGGCAATATGAATTACGTTGGACAGTTGGAGACGCGCATAAAAATTGCACGGAAACTGTATTCTTTTTTAACGTTTTATTATATTTTTTTTTTTCATTGATCTCCTTGTCCACTAGTCTAGTATAACGGTTCAAGCCTTATTGAAGTAAAGCTGTCTTTCTTTTTTGTTGTTGTTTGTAGATAGCACAGCCAGCCTGCCTTACTCGAGAGCTACAGAGCTTGGAATACTCATTGGAATACCGCTGGCTTGTTCTGCGATCATGTTAACGGTCGTCGGCATTTTACTCGTGAAAAGTATTCACGATTCAGAGGGGACATTTTACGGATACGGAAAAAATCGCGACAAGGACAAAATACACTCTTGTCTAGTGACAATGAGTACTAGTATTGCGCATGTCGGAGCTGTGGGGTATATCAACGAGCGCAGATCCAACAGGTCAAGCATGCAGTTTAATGCTTCTGTACACTCTAGCGCCCATTCCTCTCAACACTCACGCAACAATTCTATCGTGGAAGCCCCAGAAATTACTATCACTCCAGAGACACCGGAAGCACATAGAAGATTCGAGGCCAAAGTGTTTGCGTCTTCAAGCACGAGTATTGAGCAAGAGCGCTTTCAATCAGCAAACAGTTTAGAGAATCTGTTGTCGAGAAAGTACATCAAGCCAAAAACGCGACGCCTGCGTTCATTGCGAAAGTCAGACGCTGTTGTGACTCCCGCGGGACACCACGGGAAATACACAAAGAAGGACGACCAATTTGAATTTTACGAAATCTAATTTGACAAGTAATTTTTAGATACTTAACTTAAAACGCTTTGAATTGATATGACGTCAGCTCCCGCACAGTACGATAAAATGCGCTTTTGTTGATGATCACTGACGTCGATAATAAATGCCAAAACTTTTTCTGGTACTGAATGGTAATTCAGTTTTGTTTCCGTACAAAACCGATTTATTATCAATTTTAATACATTTTCCAGCAGCAACAGATCGTCACCTGCTCGCAGTAACATTTTTTTTGTTCTGATTGAGAAACATGTATTTAATCATGCGAAATAAATTACCTGTCACTGCTTTCTAATTAGGGTTAGGGTTAGGGTACTTGACTCATATGAGTAAAGGTTATTTTACAGAAATGTTATGCTACTACAAGAAGGCATATCATTTTCTGACATATGGAGAACAATTGAATAATTCAAAGGTGCAAATAATTCAGTTATTAGCGAGCCACTTTAACGCAAACTTTCATCCAGATTTGTATTTAGATTATCAAGAGAGTATTTTGCTTCTGATTACGCCTTAACTTTAAACAGTATTTTTAAGAATTTCAACTTAGTATGATGTAGGAAGAGATTATTTAAACAAATGAAACCGCTAAACCCCTTAAATTCGTTCGTATAGTTCTCAAAGAGAAGGTAAAATAACTATTGCTTTCAGTAAGTGCCGCGTAAAAATGAAATCGTAGGAACTACTGAGCTCGCGAAAGAAGTACAAGACATTTCGATACAGGATAAATCAAACACTTATTCTCACTTGGTTGTTTCTTATTCTTTTAGCAAGAGGATTTGGACTGATGCTTGAACTTTAAAAGATAGTCTAAGTATTTATTTTTGAGCATGTCTCATATTAATAATTTTGTAAGTTATTATAAAACGCACCAGAAATAAAGTATTAGCGTTGTTAATGTTTGTACGTGTTTTTACCACCGTAGTAGGCACAGTGTTTCGAGGCACAGACAAGCTAACGGAACAATAGGTTTTAAGTCTTTTTATTCTGTTTCATTGTGTTGTAGAAAATACAATTAATCAACCTCATTTCAGTTCTACGAAATTAAATTTATATATTTTACACTTGTACAATATAAATATCTGCTCCTAAATAATGTAAATGTGCTGTTCTCAAACTTGTTTGCAACTTTTCTTCAAATCTCTAAAATACAATACTGATCCACAACTAAGGTAAAAGATTTTCAATGGCAAGGGGGATTTCTGCTTTGATAAGACTCAAACGAATGGGTTTAAAAATTTGTCGTGTCCATTATTGGTATCAATACCAGCAAAAAAATCGATTTTTCTTTTTTCTCTCATGGCTGCTACGCTAGGTGAACCAAAGCTTTTTGATCTTTACTTCTTTTCTCGGTCAGCCCTCCAAACTTCACCAGACTTCTCTCGGTTGGCACTGATAAGGTAGACTGGACTCTAGGACCTTTGAAACTCAGATCTTGACGAGCACTTAACGCCTTGTGCAAAGCCTTCGTAGCCTGAAATAAAACAAAAGAATAGTATAAAGATAAGATTTTTTTTCTTTTCTTTATCACTTGTTTGTTTTGTTTTCTCACGTTAGACAGATATATCTGCACACGTTTCTAAGAGTTTGGAGGTGCATCTCCTAAACGTGATACTGTAAACTAAGTAGCGACCCTCGTTACAGTCAGATACGGTAAACTGACTCACTGCTGTGTTAGTCTGCTGTATCCATGCCTCAGTGCGATGGTCGAGTTTTCAATTTAAAATTCAAGAAACATTCCTTTTAATACGATCTACTTGAAAATGATATTAATTTGAATCAAAGTTTGCTCCAATACGTTCCTGTTATTTGATGAAAATTCTACGGGTTTTGTTTTAACACGGCGCAACATTAACTGATGAAACATGACTTGGAGGCAGCGTGGCCGAGGCAGCGTGGCCGAGGCAGCGTGGCCGAGGCAGCGTGGCCGAGGGAGCGTGGCCGAGGCAGCGTGGCCGAGTGGTTAGAGCGCCTGATTTGAAATCCGTAGGTCCCGGGTTCAAATCCCGTTCTGACCGCTANTTGGTCCTGAAAAGCCTCGATGGGGAGTGGCCAATTAAGTATACACATACACACATACACATACACAAATTGACATCTCACAACGCTTCGTGGCATAAGCGATATCTTTCCTTGTTGTTGAGTGCCTAAATTAAAAACCATACGTAACTTTCACCTGATTATTGATTCGCAAAATAAATATACTATTGAACCTGGGTCTCACTATTTTCAGTGAGGGGTACGTGATGGGATCGCTACTTTCAGGATTTATTAGCGCCCATGATTTTTTAACGTTACTGTCGGGGCGCTGCTACTTTCGAGGGGTCGCTACTTTCGGGGGGTCGCTTCTTTCGGGGAGTCGTTACTTTCGGAAGTTTACGGTAAATCACTTGTATTTTTTCCGCCGCATCCCAAAACTTCATTTGCAAAGTTCTTAACTTTTACAAACGGTACGAATTTAGTCTGATACTGGGACCTACATGTAGACATTAATGGCCTAATATGTACAAGTCACTACTGCATGTACGATTAAGTAACTGCTGACCGTGTCCCTGGGTGCATATATCACGCTTAGGGACTTCCTCCCACAGTAAAGATTTAGATTTAGATGACGCATGTTAACAAAACTCTACAACAGAATGTAAATTTAGGTACTTTGGACTTGGAAACCGTTTCCTCGTCTTTGCATGCCTGGACTAACCTTTTTCTTTCCCTTTATAATATTGATGTGGAAGTCCTGTTCCTCCATACAGGCTCGTATTTCTGGAAAAACAGAGCCACGAATCGGTGGTAGAACAGATTTACCGCTAAACTTGGCTGTTGCTTCAGAATTCTTCACACCTGAAAGAAGCCAAGAAAAGTTCCATTGAAGATTTTCTGTATGTTCTACTCATTTCTTGTTTTCATGTTCTGCGTGGAAATGTTTGCCACATATTTTATGCAAATCTGTCAACAATGCTCTTTTCTTCAATGACTTTTTGCTTCCCACTCTGTCTATATTATTAACAATCATTACTAAAGAAGAGGAAACGTTCACAACAAATATATTGACAAAGTGTACAATGTAAAAATGTCAATGTCAAATAATGCAAAGGATTTTGTGCTGATACACTGAACACTGGGTAATCTTTTGTGCCACCTGTAGTATTGTAAAGCGCCATGGACAATTAGTGGAAAATGGCGCTATATAAATGTATATTTATTTATTTATTTTATTTATTTTCTAGTTTCAATTATTTCTTTTTCCTCCTATTCTTTTCCTTGTATTATGTGTTAGGTTAGTGTAAGTTATGTCCGACCAGATTAGTCATAGTAGCTGTGCTGTACCTGTGGCATGCTGGGACAGCTCTTGGTAACTGTTGGTTTCCCGGATGGAAGCCTCGGCCTGACGTGCGGCTGCTATTCCCATGTGACTCTTCATGACGTCAGTTATCGCGCGTCCAGGAAACAGCCGTGAAAAAATCGACACAATTTCCTTGTTCTCAGGGTCTAAATAGAGTGAAACAAGGACGTCATGTCGAGCACCGTCCAAGTCCTGGAAAAAAGTAAATAAAGAAACAAACAATTAACACTTAATACGCTTGATAAAAGCCCACAAAATGAAATTCTTTCCCCGCCCGCACGACGTCCAAGATTGAACAGCAAAAACACAACTTAGGCCCGGCATCCACACTACGCCGGAGGAATTTGAAAACGCAACAATCACCGGTCATTTGTGTTTAAAAAAACCTCAGGCGGGCAGGCAAATCACATATCGTCATGTCATCGTTTTCGAAGGGCTCTGTTTTCAAAATGTTTTCCGTCCACACGAAAACGAAAAGCGAATTCCTCCAGTTTGAAGAGAGTTTTCGAAAAGCTCCGTTTTCGTGACGGAATAGTGTGGACGATACGCCTAACAGCAGAAATGAAATTGCACTCCGGCGTTAAGTGTGGAAGGGGCCTTAGAGAGAGTAGAGGTATGTAATTAGCGTGGAACTCCAGCGTGTTTCTCTCGAGGAAAGACTTGTATCGCTATTGCCGATTCTACAAGACACACGCACCTCTATCATATAACGAGCCCTGGCACGTGACAAGTAGTAAGCTCCAATGCGCGGGTTGTATCGAATACACGTGGTCAGGTGATCAATAGCTTCCAGGTAATGCCTGTCGTAGTACTCCAGTATTCCAAACTCGTTGTAGACAATGGACAGTCTGCAGCGGACAGACCAGTCACTGCTATCCATCTCCAGCGCCTGTTGGTAGTCGGATAGAGCGAAGTGCAACTCATTCAGGCGGAAAAAACAATCTGCGAAGGCAATGATAAAGTCGATAAAGTCATGGGTACCGCAGGAAGTACAAGCATGTATTAAAGTTAACGATTGCTGCATTTATTTCAGCATTGTAACTGCAGGCCTGTGTTTTAAACAGCTACATGTACAGACATGTATGAGTAGTGTGAGAAGGGAATGCCTGACGGGTACAGAGGGGGAAAAATGAGATCTCTTGCGTCTGTTGTTTGAGTTTTCCGTACTTAACTTTGATCACAAAAAATATATGTACTAGTTTTTCACCTAGCTATTCACCTGACTCTCTTTCACCTTACACCCAAATCTTCAGTTTAATAATTGTTTTAACTCGTTTAATTCAAGATATATAAACAACAACAATCTTTTCAATTAAACTCCTGTCAAAAGAGGACTATAAGTAAACGAATCGAGTAAAAATGCACTTACCATACGAATACTGATTTAGTTGTACGTACAGTGTACAAAGAGTCTTATTTACATTGATATTATTCATTATGGTAACTCTTGAGCAGTCAGTGTAATCGTTTGTTACTTTTTTTTTTTAAACAAATACCTCCTCTGTTAATGTAAAGTCCTTTTTCATTTTTTTCCCCTTTGATTGCTTTGTTTAACAGAACAACTGCCTCATCATAGAATCCTTTCCTAAGGAACACAATAAAAGAGTATTATAAATACAGTCATATTATGGTCAAACTTATAACAGCTAGTATGCAAGTCTCTTTGAAACAAGAATGAATGTTTAATTGACCAGTCAGATCAGGGTTAAATTTACAGAATCTGAGATGGTCTAAAAAGCCAACCACAGTGCAAGTTTCTTGATGTACATTAACATTAATAAAGAGCTTAAGCAATACACCACGGCAGTGATAACGAGAATGCAACCTTACAAAAGGTATTAATGAGAAGAACAGTGGCTTTGCACGTCCGTAATAAATGTCTGTACATTTCTTCGTCGTCCTCTCCGCATGACTAAGTTCTGCATGTTTTGAAGAACACAAACGACGGCGGCTAATTTTCGGTATTTTCATTTGGAATTGAATGCTGGTATTACATTTTTAGCTTGAGCAAGTTCTGATACCTTGCACTGCAAAATTCGAAGGTAAAATAACAATTCATTGTTTACTAGGCGTTGTCCTAAGCTGTTCTGACCTGAAGCATTCCACAGCAAAGTCATTATAGCACAGAAGAAGTTGTCTTTGTGCCTCTTTGTATGTGCTGTTAGATTCTTCATGGTCCGTTTTGTCCATAGCTAAGAGATAATCGTCTATGGCAGCATTAAAATCAGACATCCTTCTATGAAGCGCACCACTGGAAAAAAAAACAGTCAGCTGGCATGTCGAATAGATTTCAAGTCAAAAACAAAGAATATTGCTTACTAAAAGTTGCTCTTACAGGTAACTCTAAATATCTAATTACATTATGAACAATTTACTTGTCTGATACCTGTAATTTCTGCAAGTTTTAATGTGCAGACATGTAGCTAATGAATATATACAAAGTAAATGCAAGACAGTCTTCTTTCCAGTGATATTGATTCATAAGACAGTGTTTGAGCCATACTTACCGAAAGACATGAAAATCTGCCACTGATGGATTGGTTTCTATGGCAGTGGATATTTTAGAGAGAGCTTCTTTGATTTTGCCCATTAGATGTAACTGTATGGCCTATGAGAGAAAAGCAAGCTAAGAAAATCAATAAATGATTTCCAGGACAGATCTAGGCAAGGTTCACCTGTAATACTGTGCCCCCAGCAGCATGTATCTAGTGGCCACCCACTTTTACGTACCCTCCTACACAGTCAGAAAGGCTCATCACTCAATCTCTCCTCCCCAATGAATGTCTGCTGAAACAGTGCCTATTTAAGAGCCCTTAAAGACTACATGTATATTTCAACTAATGAAAAACATATATTTACATGATTTGTAAGGACACGTACATGTATTTTCAGTCATGATCAAATTCAGATACTTGTACAGTGTATATAAAACAAGTCAACATTGAGAATTGATAATTTTTTCACCTGTTGTCTGCTGTCCTTTGCTTTTTTCTCAAGTGAAGCCATCAAAGTTTTAGCTTCTGCATTCTCAGGGGCAAGAGCGAGTGCATCTTTAGCATCATAGTAACAGAGAGTTGACTAAAAATAAAGAAATAATTATAAAACATATAAAGAGTTCTCTTACCATAAAATAGTTGAGTTTCACTTTTTTTAAATTGTACAAGTAAAATTATACTCCTTTTAAAATGCTTCCAACTGCTCCTTGAAATATGAGATCCCTTATTTTTTTGGTGCTGACAATTTACTGGTTCCGACCATGATCAAGGTCAGTGTCTGTATTGACTCTTTCAAATATACATATACATGTACAATTGTATCAATCCATTCATTGTGCAGTACCAGAAAATATCCATACTCCCCCCACAGAAGGGATTGAAATTTCCTGGGGGGTGGGGGGATCTCTTCACGCTAAGAACAAAAAATTTAAAATGTGAAGTTTAATAGGAATTTCCAGAGGGGTGGGGGGTCTTGGAAAAAATTCTTTCTGTGGGGGAGGTATGGATATTTTCTGGAACTACACATTGCAAAGAAGACTATTTACAGGTGGGATACATGTTTGTAAGTCATCAAGAGTCTACGATACAGTATTTACGTGTACATGATTGTATTAGTTACACTGTCGATGTTATGTTAGTGACTAGCCACCACTAATTTGTACTCTCAGAACAAACTTTTATTGGACAGAAATCCTGCCCANAAAAACAGTTCATTAAACATCAGATTAAATTCTTCGTTCCAGTTTAAATCTATGTTGCTGTCATATGGGTTGGCTCTTCCCGCCTAGACTGTGTTCTCAGTGGTCGGCAGGAGAGCTAGTAAGGTACCGTAAACTGTCTCTACTTCATGACACACTGCTATGCCACTCTGCTTTAAACAATATCTCAGTACGTTGGCTGAGTTTTCCATTTAAATTTGAAGAAACGTTCCTTTTAAAATGCTGCTGCTGAAAATGATATAGAGTTTTCAATTTTAATTTTTAAAAAAGTTCATGTTAGTACATTCCTGTTATTTAATTAAAATTCTATGGGTTTAGTTTTAACACAGTGCAACATGAACTCACAAAGCATGAATTGATTTTTCATAACGCTTTGTGGCAGGAGCGATACCTTCTCTTGGTGGGAGAGGGCGGGGGGCTGAGTGGGCTCGTTACTTTCGCAGAGCTCACTACTTCCGGGTGGTCGCTACTTTCGGGATTTATTAGCGTCCACAATTTTTTGATGTTACTTTTGGGAAGTCACTACTTTCAGAAGTTTATGGCACTTTAATTGTTTCAGGTAGAGGGGATGGGTGTGTTACATCGGATTTACAGTTGGGTAACAGTTTGGGAAAAATACGCCCAATCAAGGACTGGATTTAATTTTTTTTTAGACAGCTAGTGCTACAGACCAGGAAAAGTAAAGAGTCAATGAAATACTTGTTAACAGAAATGAAAAAAAGAAGAAACGTTGACTCACGATTGATTCGTCCGTGAGCTCTGTAGGTTCTTCTCCTCATCTTGGGAGCAGCATTCACTTGTATGTGCTCAACCACTAATGAGTCGACATCCAATCCCTTAAATAAACAAAACGACATGTGATAGGAAAATATCAAGATAAAACAGTCCCAATAACAATGAAAACTGAATTAGCATTCCTATCTCCACAAAAATAACAGAAAGAATTTTCAAGTAGGTTGCTTTATCTGTTGGGTCTGTTGGGTTAAGCAGTTGATTTTGCACTCTTTCTAAAGAATTGGAAGAAAAACTCAGCAGTGTAGATGACTGAGGTCATAAAGGAGATGGTGATTTTTGCCAGCAGCCGCTACTTTTGACAACCCTAACTGACGTTAAGTGTATTTACAATATGCCACCCACCTTAAACTCAGCATTGCTCTCTGCATTTTTGAGGAGCTGCAGAAGAATCTCAGCACTCTTCTTTGGCCATCGGCCCTGGGACCCAGGGGCATTGTGGTTCTTGGCCTAAAACATGATTATTCAGGAATTAGCCACTCAAGCCTTAATTTTTGGTGAGAAAATGATACAATATTTGATCAGCATTGTTACAAACATAAAAATATTTGACAACAGAGTCAACTAGATCAACTCCCCCATTACTATTACAAAGTGGCCTTATCGTGGAACTCAGAAAACTGTGAACACCAGAAATATTTCTGGAATGTTATTATGTTGCAAGGAAAAAGCCAATTTGGCGCGAGAAAACAAAACCATGAACAGCAACCGTTTAACAAAACGAATGTGGTTTAGCATGGTCTGTACTCTTATCAACAACGATAGGTGTCATCACTGTGGTCAAAATGTTGTGGACTCACGAGGTGCAAATTTTGACCACTGTGATGACGCATATCATTGTCAATAGAGTACAGACCACGCTAACCCACATTTCAATTTGTTTTTTACCACAATATCAAAGTCAAAGAAAATGTTTTTTTTCAGAGCGCAAGCTGAAAAAGGCATTGCCTGACACATTGACATGAGCAGTGTTATCTGGACTCTTATTGACAACAACAAATTAGCCAATCAGGTTGCCAGATTAGTAGCAGTTGTGGTGAAAAGTTAGTTTGTGGTTTTGAGGTTTGCTCACATGTCCTGAACTCTGTTGTGATTTGTCAGTACACAAGTGACTTGTCAGAATCAATTCAAAGTGTTCAGGGTTTTTCAACTTGAACAGTAACTTAAATTCAAGGAAAGCTAAAAAAAAATAACAGTTTACATTTATTTCACTACCACAGATGTCACAGTAAAGGTTGAAGGCTTGATTTAGAAGGTCACTTTTTTTTCGGGTATACTTTCCAAGTTTGCCATCGCTCCAAAATTGTTATGGGATGACAGCTTGGCAGATTGTCAGAGAATGCTGTTGGCATTCTTGGCAGATTGTCAGAGAATGCTGCCAGCCCACTCAAAATGTACATCCCTGTTCCATCTTTAAAATGCAGCACTATAATTTATCTCTCTTCTATTTATCAAGAACTTCTGACTCCCTTCTACACCGAGGAGCCAATTTGCTGATTCAATAGCATACATAGCTTACAATGTGCCCTTGAATCAATCAATCAATAAAAAAGTAGATTCCATGTTGCCTTTCATCTGTTCAATAGAATCTCATAGCTCAGAGAATTCTCACACCCTGATTGGTTACCTAACTGAAGTATTCAGCATGGAATTGCCACTCTTGAAAGCGAAGCACATTGAATATTGCAACATTCACACAGATGTAAATGAAACGGGGATTTCTTTCACTTAAAAGAAAGGCTATGCGATTCAAGGGAAACTCATGAATTCTACATTAAATTTCACTTGAAAAACCGATATCGCACTCATTGCTTCGTGATTTAAGCGATAACGGTTTTTTGCATGAAATTTACCTGGAATTTCCTCACAGGTAATTAATTTTCCTATGATATATCACAGAAGACGTCAAAATGTGGTACAAACATCAGTGACAAACTTGCCTTACTGTTCGTGTGACACTTTTTTGTTCTTATATTTAGATTTGGCATCTTCTGTGATCTATTACTGAACAGACACATCGCAACATAGAATCTATTTGTTGAATAAATGCAAAAAAATACGGATAAAATGTGAAAGCATAAATTAAACAGCTGCTCTCTTAACAGAGCTGAATTTCAGGTGGCAAGGTATTCTAGAAAGAAAGCATTTAATTCCAACAGCCACAGATCATGCATACCTGAGCTTTACGTCCAATGCCACCATTGAATCTACGGAATGGAATGATCTGCTTCTTAGCTATCACATCCTTCAGATATCTGTTGGCCTTGCGTACATGCAGACCCTTAATGGCAACAGCCGTCTCGTGAGTGTTCTTGAAGTGCACACGAAGATTAGAGCCTCGTGCTTTACAAGACTTTGTAGGATTCTCTGGATCGGCTGCGTACCGAGTCATCTTTGTGTTATTTTACCTAAGTAGAAAGTCGCCATTAATTTTCCTAATTATCTATAACAGGCAAAATAAGGCTGAAAGGACAGAAACACTTTGACTGCTGCATGATTTTTACACAGTCATAAACGTAACATTTTCAAACACTAGGAATTCTCAAGGTAGTCTTTAATGAGAAAGATCTACTAAAAAATAACAAAGTTATCGTCAAGTTGCAAGTTTCTCTGGTCGGAATCGTGATCATCCAAATTTTTATAAAGCCCATTCAAATTACAGAGATCCAATACACTAAAAGTAAGCAACGATAATAATTCTCTACAGGTTATGTATTTTGGGAAAATCATAAGGAAGGATTGGAGAGATAATTTGAGATATCGAGAACACATTGAGATCTGTCTCACCTTCGAAGAGGAAGGCAGAAAGAGGACATATATCCAGAAGCCCTTTCGCTATGGGCACTTCATTGCGCAAGCGCTCCCAGTGATTCAAAATGGCGCCCATCTGATATGTTTGCGTCCAACAACTGGTAACATTTCTGTCTGCTTTCCGTGGCGGTTTCATTTTGTTCAGGATGTTTTGGGGTAATTGTACTGTTCTTTTTTGTATTCCTTCCCTTATTATTGTTGGTGCGGCATCGAGGTCGAAAATGACGTGCCTGAGTTGCTGAAAGTTGACCAGTTAAAAATTTGAGATCTATTTGAAATCGAAGTTTAATCTATTTAAGCTTGTTATTTAATTATCATAAGGGGTTTTCGTGCGCAAGAGGTATGTTTGAATTTCAAGAAATCAGATCAATTCTACCCCTTTTTTTCCTTTGGTTTTTAAGAAATGGTGTGTACTTTAAGCCTGTTGTAACAGCGTGTATAGAGTGTATATAGGTTTCTGGACACACGTGGGAAGTTTGGAGATCGGGTAGGGGGTTGGTGCGACCCTATTTAGGACCTAAAAAGGGAGCTTCTTCTAAAAGACATACCTAGTTCAAGACTAGAGTGCAAAACCATACCCTATTTATGACCAAAATGGCCAAAATCGATACCCTATTTATGACCAAAGCAGCTGAAAACCCTACCTATATAGCCCATATAAGAGAGTACCCCCCTTCCTGGCTTTGGAGAGCACTGGAAAGCAAAAGAGTCACTCACGGCAAAATGATTGTAACTGTAGATTCACTGGTGCTCTCTTAACACCAGCAACATCCATAGCTTGATGTATGCATTGACCTGAAACTGAGCACACTAAAAAGAGTGAAAACACACAACACAACACAACAGACGAAAATGCAACAACAAAATACAATGACACAGCGCAACACAACAAAGCACGACAAGAAAGCACAACAACATACTATGAAACAAAACAAAACACAACTGCAACAAAACAAAACAACACAACAACTCAACAAAACTTAATGAAAAAACGACACATAATAACACAACAAAACCCAATAAGACATGACACAACAAAACTAAACAACAACAAAATAAAGCACAACAAAATGTAACATATAACACAACTAAACACAACAAAACATACAACAAACCAAAACAACAAAATAAAACAAAGCACAACAAAACACTCACAACAACCAAAACACAGCACAGCTCTACACAACAAAATTCCATCATGTCTGCAAGGTTGAACAGCTTGTTTTCAGAGACTAAGAAATGTATTTTTCATTATAATAATTTTGCAGGAGTGACTCTTGATTCTGGCAAGCGTTATACACAGACAGTGGAGAAGTCATTTCACTTGTCAATGGCAGCTCTGGGTTTTCAGAACTGTTCATCAACACCAGTAACTGTGATGGTTGAAGTAGATAAAGCACAGTTTGCACTCTGCACACTGCAACCAGGAAAAATTCCACAGCAACCTTTAGACTACTGCTTCACTGAAGGAGAAGAAATAACTTTTTTCACAGAAGGACCTGGTGATGTCCATTTGACAGGTTTGCACTTGTTGCTAACTTTTAGTACATAATATATCTTTTTTATCCATAGAGTGATAAGCACAGACGAAGGAATCTTTGTTTTTCTTTTTGTCACTTTGCACAGGTTTGACTGTACTTAGTCAGAATGTCGTAACTCAGAACTTGATATTTTGGTCTGGTGTTTCCTCACCAAAAGATCCTATCAGGCTAAAAGCAACCCAAAAAGAGTCCAGCAGCATGAAACTTACCAACCCCACTCCCTCCCAAAATAATAATGATAATAATAAAGGGACTGATTCACTTGTTTGTGACCAAAATGAGAGAACCCCCAAAAAGACCTTACCAAAATTATTACCCTAAAGAGTTACTTCAACCTTCCTAATCCGAGCAGTCTCAAATCCCAGATTTCAAACTCGAAAAAGGTCTTCACACCTTTCTGTCACTAGGATTCCTGAGTATTCCTTTTGTGTCTGTCCACTCAGGTAATAAGCTTGTTATATTTTTCTGGTTAGGTTATTTAATGGATGAACCAAATACTTTGGAATTTGAGAATGATGAAGATGAACTGACTGCTGACACTGACGAATCTGAATCTGCGTCAGTTAGCAATTCTGATTCTGATGATGATGAATCTTCCAGTGATGAAATTACTCTTGGAGATTTACTGCAAAGTGGAGACATTACAAATGATGATAATGATGATGAAGACAATGAAGATGAGGAGAGTGGTGATGATGATTGGGATCCGTCAAAGGATAATCCAAAGAGACGAAAACAAACCAAAAAAGAAAAGAAGAAAAAGAAAAAATCTAAGACAGAGGATTCTGATGAACACGATGATGTGATTACTAGTAAAGATTTCGAACAAACAGAAGGAACTACACAAAATGAAGATGGTGATGATGACTATGATCCTGAGAAACAAATTAAATCAGACACTAAAAAGGAAACAAAACGAAACAAAAAGAAAAGGAAAAAGCTGGAAACAGAGCAACCAACTGTTGAAAATGGACTTACACAACCACAAAACCTGAAGAAGAAAGCTAAAAGAACTCAGTTAAAATCACCTGATAATGATAGTGGTGTAGTAAACACAGAAAGTGCGAATTCACTTCAAAATAACAAAGAGAGTGAAAAAGTTAATTCCACTCCAGTTAACTCATTAAACTCAGTAAAGACTAACTCAAGTAAGAAGAATGAAGGAAAAACACAAAATCAAGTTGATTTACAAGAAACAAGTCCTGAGAAAAGGAACAATCAATCACAGGTCAATGAGGTAAGTATCTGGGCTTTCCAAAGCTAATTTTAAAGATTTTTTTTTTTTGTTGGGGTACCTAAAGCGTAGTATTTCTGAGGAAAACAACAGACTGTGATATCCATGAAGAACATTTAAGGGGAAACATTGTGAATTTCATTAAACAGTGCCAGTTTAGTTCTGTAATAATTAGCAATTGTCCATATTAGCGTATATTTCCATCACCATATTTACACTTTTTGTCCTTAATATATTCTTATCATTTGTGTCATCTACCTCACTTTAATTTATATTACGCACTATTGAACATTTTCTTTCATTCCCTGATGATGTGGTAGAACGGCGAAAGCTTGGAATTAAAATACAGCAGCTCAAGGCCTCAATTGAATCAATGCATCTCTCTAGTGCTAGTTTAGTTTTTTGTCAAGGCACAGTGCCTGATCAGTTCCAATGCCAGTTATTAAATGATACACACTCAAGCTAATGTCCTGGAGTCCCCTTTATTAAGCTTTTGGATCTGGGTCAAAAATGTTGATTCTTGTTTTTTGAGCCCTGAAATAATACTGTGGAGCCATGTTTTCTCCACTTGAGCAGAGGAGTAGTAGACCCCTTCTGTCTTTGCTTGTAAGAAGCACTTTAATTTTGTAAAACAATATTGGAATTGTACAGACAAAGAAGAGGAAACTACCAGGAGGGACAGTATTAGAAGATATCACAAAAGGAACTGGACCAGTGGCCAAGAAAGGACAAAAGGTAGATCTAGAAAATGATCTAGTTAGGCTGAATAATTTACATTACTAAGATAAACATGTGAAATTTAATTTTAAGAAAATTGAAACTGCTCTGGACTAATGAAAGTTACCTACAGTACATGTAGAACTATTTTTGAAGCAGAATATTGAGTCAGTTTTGTCTGGCACAGATCTTCACTATTTAGACATAAATCAGCAAAAATCCAGATTTTGGAATATCATGACCTTCATTACATTTTATCAGTGCTTTCTGGCAGTTTTATTTATTTTCTTCTTCTGCAACAGGTTTATGTTTATTATAAAGGCCATTTAGCAAAGACCAAGAAGCAGTTTGATGCATGCCTAAATGGACCTCCATTTTCATTCAGACTGGGTGTAGGAGAGGTCATACGAGGCTGGGATCTGGGTGTAGCTGGTAAGTACTTAAAACCCTGATATCGACATACAAGTTCTCCTTACAGAGCTCCATAAGTTTTTTGAAATACTAGTAGTGAGAAATTACCATTCTTGTCATACAGGTATGCAAGTAGGAGGCAAAAGAAAACTAACAGTACCTCCCTCACAAGGGTAAGTTCTTGGCTAATGTTACCCCACTAAGGGTGGGGTGTTGGTAAACATTACTCCTTCCTCTGCCCCTAGAGGGTGGGTGTGAGGCATGGTGGATCAAAGATTATCACCCTGGGTTTAGCTGTTCAGAGAGTGGATAATACCATTCACTGGATAAATCACTGGTCAGTGGATAGCATAGTTTGTTTTACTAACACTTATCCACTGTATAGCAACTTATCCAGTGAAGAGTGTTATCCACTCTTTGAACAACAGAACTGCACCCTGTACTTAAGATTGAACAGTTCAGGCAATTGCTTTGCATTCTTGAGTGAGGAGGCACTTTCTTCTCACAATGCCCCTTTGCTCTGATACAAGGCTAAGGCTGGAAAAGTCAGCTTCACATACTCACTTTTTCAGTTAATTTACCTTGTTCATCAGCTTCAAGTTGATAAATAACTTACTGCATCAACTCAGTTGTATTTAATTTAATACTACTGTCTCGCCAGCTACTGGAGAAAAACCTTTTAATGCATGGCTTTTGTTTTTTTTATTGCCACCAAAATATACATGTATTTATTATCAGTTCTGGGTTCAAAAATTGTTACCATTCATCATTGCTCCTCAAACCATTATTTTTGTCTTGGAATTTCTCCCTTATTTTTCATACTTAATCACTCTTGGACTAATAATATCACTGTTACTGGAACATGTGGCAGTATGCCATGTAATGATATCTCTAATATTTTTGTTGTTGGCAGGTATGGGAACAAGAAGATGGGGCCAATTCCACCCAACAGTACCTTAGAATTTGATATTCAACTCATCAGGCTGCAATGATATTGTAAAGGGGCTAGGCCATGATTATCACTCATGTGGACAAACTGGTCTCAAAGACATAACCAAGGGCAATCAGTCTGAAAAAGACAGCATAGCACTTAAAACTGCCCGGCTTGGTCTGAGTAAAGTGACGGTTCTGTTCCCATTCTTAATTCTTCTGCTAAATGTACGGTATGATAGAGATATCCGAGATGTGTGCTGAAAAACAGTGCCTTACTGATGACAGCTCTGTACAGATCCGTGTTTTGTCTTAGTTAATAGTGATTCCTACTCACATGTGATATCTTATGACCACACTACAACCAATCAAAGATATTTCCTGGATTCCTTTAAAACTGCATCATTAGTATGCAATTTTTGGGTGGAATCTTGGCTGTCACTCTCCTGCAGATGGCAAGCTCAACCAAACTATTTACTTTGTTTACTCTAGACACGAGAGAGCAAACACACGATTTCTGGTTCTTATACATTCTGAATATGCAAGACCATTACACACAACTGTAATTCAACGGAACTGACATATTCTATACATTTTTGTAATTTCCTACAGAGCAAAGTCACTTCTCTTAAGTGGTCACCTCTCTTGTAAGGCAGTCTAGCATTTTGTGGGAGGGAACTTACTAGTGATCTCACCATGGAGCAAAGTGATTTTACATAACCCAGGGGTTACTACACAATCAGATACTATTAGACCAGAATTTTTACAATTCCTCTGTTTAGTTTTGGCTATTTGGTGATGATTGTTAGATCATGTTGTTTTCCTCGGGATTATAAAAAAACTCACAAAACTGAACTATCCTGGAGCCTTATACATAAGTCTAGATAATATGCTGTTCAATTCTAGGAGAACATTTGTTTGTGACAGTGTACATCTTTGTGGAGTAACTTGTAGCATTTTTGAAAATCACTGGGATTATGGAGGCAAGCAGCATGACCAGGACTTGAAAAAACTTGAATTCCATTTTGTCCTTAGGACAAGTAGGTCTAAAATTTTGCTTGCCCTGGGCAAGTCTTAGTTTGCTCTTTTAGTTATTTAGTTGGCAGATGACTTGCCTGATCCTTGCCCATTGGGTAAGTGAGAATAAAAAGGTACTTGCCGAGAAGGAAAATCTACTTGTCCTGGACAACGGGACAACAGTTTTTTCAAGCCCTGTTGTCAAATTCTCTTAATGCTGATCTTTCTCAGTACATTTTTAACAAGTTGTTTTTAATTTTATTATAAATTTAGACATTGTATTGTATTTTTAACTGAATCATTTTGAGGTTGGACATCATTTAAATATTTTGTTGGCATAGTTTTCAAGCAATGTGGATACAGAATTATTTAGTGTTGTACTGCCTTATTGTTTTTTCATCCTTTGAATTTTCCAACCTTTGCAAACTACACTGAAACATCAGTGGTCTGAATATGGTATTACTGGTGAACCTATTGATGTTATCGCACCCTCTAAATTTCTTTATTATTACTTTACAAGGTCATGTAACAAGATACTAAGTACCAAGTACTCAAAGTACTTTTTATCTCTTTTATAAACACCTTTGTGTCTTGCTTTATTAGGAGATGAAAAACTTTCATCTAGCACTTTCATCAACATTATTACCACTAAAATTTTATCACGGATAGTTTTGAATGTAATAATTAAGTATATATGACACTTTTAAACCACATTTAATGGAAAACATCAGCTTTAAATAAAACATTTTTCTTTTATTCATTGACTTCTAGCCCTGCTCAACACAGTCATGTAGTCTTGCAATACATCATGCACTCATGCAATATCTATCCAGTACACATTGTGGACTATTTTAGGTAGTAACTCTAGTGTGAAACCTGTATCTGACAGGACTTGGAAAAAAAGCTACTATTGATATCATTTGACCATGCTAAGCTTTTGAAATTTTGTGCTGTGTGACAAACTAGTGAATCAAGATACCATTGCAGTGGATAACTGCTCTGCGAGACACCCTATTAGCTAGAAACTTGTACTGTGAAGGCCAGATAGCAAAACAAATCTAGAACAATCAATGGATTAACAGTGAGGAACTGAAGAGGATCCACAATATGAGGCAGAGTGTCAATGACTTTTGTCTGTGAGCACATTAGCCAGTGAATAATAATGATGATGATGATGA